ATGTAAGCTACTTGGGGCACGCGCCTATGGCATGATGCGCAGGAGAACCATACAAGAAAGAAGGGCAACAGCTACAGGCTCGAAGAGGACATGGGGGGACGGGAGCGAAGAGCAGGAGAAAGACGTGCGGGAAGCCCACTGTGCTGGGCCCCTCAGCAGCCCTCGAAAGTGGCGACAGTTTCACAGATCGCAGCCCCCCAGGGATGGCGAGGTCCCATTTGAGTCTGCGGTGGGTACCCACTGTGCTGGGCCCCTCAGCAGCTCTCGAAAGCGGCGACAGTTTCACAGATCGCAGCCCCCCAGGGATGGCGAGGTCCCATTTGAGTCTGCGGTGAGTACCCACTGTGTTGGGCCCCTCAGCAGCCCTCGAAAGTGGCGACAGTTTCACAGATCGCAGCCCCCCAGGGATGGCGAGGTACCATTTGAATCTGCGGTGAGTACCCACTGTGCTGGGCCCCTCAGCAGCCCTCGAAAGTGGCGACAGTTTCACAGATCGCAGCCCCCAGCAGCCTTTGAATCCGCCGTGAGTACCCACTGTGCTGGCCCCCCCAGCAAGCCTCGAAAGTGGCTGCAGTTTCACAGATCGCAGCCCCCCAGGGATGGTGAGGTCTAGTGTGAATCAACCGTGAGTACCCGCTGTGCTGGGCCCCCCAGCAGCCCTCGCAAGTGGCGACAGTTTCACAGATCGCAGCTCCCCATGGATGGCGAGGTCCCATTTGAATCCGCCATGGGTACCCACTGTGCTGGGCCCCCCAGCAGCCCTCGAACGTGGCGACAGTTTCACAGATCGCAGCCCCCCAGGGATGGCGTTTGAATCCGCCGTGGGTGCCCACTGTGCTGGGCCCCCCAGCAGCCCTCGAACGTGGCGACAATTTCACAGATCGCAGCCCCCCAGGGATGGCGAGGTCCCATTTGAATCCGCCGTGAGTACCCACTGTGCTGGGCCCCCCAGAAGCCCTCGAAAGTGGCGACACTTTCACAGATCGCAGCCCCCCCAGGGATGGCGAGGTCCTATTTGAATCCGCCGTGAGTACCCACTGTGCTGGGCCACCCAGCAGCCCTCGAAAGTGGCGACAGTTTCACAGATCGCAGCCCCCCAGGGATGGCGAGGTCCCATTTGAATCCGCCGTGGGTGCCCACTGTGCTGGGCCCCCCAGCAGGCCTCGAAAGTGGCGACGGTTTCACAGATCGCAGCCCCCCAGGGATGGCGAGGTCCCATTTGAATCCGCCGTGGGTGCCCACTGTGCTGGGCCCCCCAGAAGCCCTCGAAAGTGGCGACAGTTTCACAGATCGTAGCCCCCCAGCGCCTGCATGGTCTAATCTGAATCCCCGTAGGGCGTCACTCCGCTGGCCCCCCCAGCAGCCCTCGAAAGTGGCGACAATTTCACAGATCGCAGCCCCCCAGGGATGGCGAGGTCTAATCTGAATCCCCGTAGGGCGTCACTCCGCTGGGCCCCCAGCAGGCCTCGAAAGTGGCGACAGTTTCACAGATCGCAGCCCCCCAGGGATGGCGAGGTCTAATCTGAATCCCCGTAGGGCGTCACTCCGCTGGGCCCCCCAGCAGCCTCGAAAGTGGCCACAGTTTCACAGATCGCAGCCCCCCAGGAATGGCGAGGTCGAATCTGAATCCCCGTAGGGCGTCACTCCGCTGGGCCCCCCAGCAGGCCTCGAAAGTGGCGACAGTTTCACAGATCGCAGCCCCCCAGGATGGCGAGGTCCAATTTCAATCCGCCGTGTGTACCCACTGTGCTGGGCCCCCCAGCAGGCCTCGAAAGTGGCGACAGTTTCACAGATCGCAGCCCCCCAGGGATGGCGAGGTCTAATCTGAATCCCCGTAGGACGTCACTCCGCTGGGCCCCCCAGCAGGCCTCGAAAGTGGCGACAGTTTCACAGATCGCAGCCCCCCAAGGATGGCGAGGTCCCATTTGAATCCGCCGTGTGTACCCACTGTGCTGGGCCCCCCCGCAGGCCTCGAAAGTGGCGACAGTTTCACAGATCGCAGCCCCCCAGGGATGGCGAGGTCTAATCTGAGTCCCCGTGGGGCGTCACTCCGCTGGCCACCCCAGCAGCCCTCGAAAGTGACGACAGTCTCGCAGATCGCCGCCCCCCAGGGATGGCGAGGGGCAAGCTAGGTAAAAGGCAAGCGAGAAGAGGACGAGCGAAGAGAGGAGGAGAAGGGATGCAAGAGAGGAGAGAGGAGGAGGGAAGAGAGAAAGCGGGAGGGGGCGGGAAGGAACGAAGGAAGGTGGAGACCGCAGTGCTCTATTCAAAACGAGTACCCAACGCAGGAGGGTTGGGAATTACCCTGTGACGTACCCAACCCATTTGCATCATGGGAAACGAGGAGTTGACCGAAACTTGCACGGATAATCGAATTGCAGGATCCGTTGTTTGATATGTAAGCTACTTGGGACACGCGTCAATGGAATGATGCGCAGGGGAACCATACAAGAACGAGGGGCGACAACTACAGGCTCGAAGAAGACATGGGGAGTCGGGA